TCCCCGTTCCCACCGCCCAGTGGGAACCCAACCGGTGACGCTGATGCCCGCAGAGCGCCCCGCACATCCCTTGCCGAGCTTAGACCAAACCGGCCCTGCTCCTTCCCAAAGCCACCCCGACCTGGGAGCTTCCCCCGCTGCCAGCAGGGGTTATTCCCGCCGGGACCTGAAGCTCCCTGTCGGCTCCAGACCCACCCCGGCTCCGGCGGTGCGACCCTCAGCGCCGTCGGGGCTGAGATACCTCGAGATACCTCTGCCCTCCCTGCTTAAAGCGAAGTGTCATCCGTGTCCCTCGCCCCGCTGCCTCCCCCACACCACGGCATGACGCGAGAGCCCGATCCAACCTCGGACCTCGACTAAACCAGGGAGACAAAGCTCGATATAAAGTAGGGGCCGTCCCCACCCTCGCGGTGATTTTTCTTTCCTGGCCCAGCCGGGCACAACCGCTCTGGGGGGAAAAAAAAAAAACCAAAACACCAAAATCCACTCCCGGAGCTTGTAGTTGACCCAAAGATCCTTGCGAAGGGTGGCGATTGAATAACGAGGAGGGGACCGTGCGCTCCGGGGGAGCCGGGGAACAGCCCAGCAGACACAAAGGAAATACTCCAAGTTACAGGGCAACCCGATACTTTACATAACACATCGCGAAAGTAATTCTTTTAGCAGAATCGCGAGCAGAAAAGCTACCGGGCTTTCAAATGTGTGCGCCTACGAATTTATGTACGCGGGAGAGCAGGGGTGGGTGTTGTCCCCGAATATTTCTAGCTCTTGTTACAGTTAAACTCACACTCCATCCCGCCTGGAAACTGGGAAATGGTACAAAGCGAATGTTGAGGTATTTTGAGAAACAGCCAGAGGTGGCAAAAGACGGATAGGTGGGGGGGATCGTGCCAGGGTTTGCTAAAGGGAGGGGGGCGCGTTCGTGTGATAATCCCCCCACCTTTCAATGGCAAAAGCAGCACGAAGTTCGGGGTGTCGGGGCAAGAGCCTCTCTCTGCCTCCGGGACGGCGTTTTCGGAGCCGAACCTGCCGGTTGGAGGGAGTTGAAGGGCACAGTCGCGTTCAGGGCCGGTTATTTCCCCCGCCCCGCATCCCACTGCGCCCGTCCTGCCCTCCCTGCGCGGCCCTGGTCCCGGTGGGGACAGACACCAGTACAGACACCAGTAAAAGCAGGATAAACAGGGAGAGAGGCTCCTCTCATCCCTGTTTGCCGACCGTGGGGTGCCAGGAAAGACGAGGTTGAGCCTGGGAATTGCGAGTCACCCTTCCCTTGGCCGTGCCAGCCCCGCCGGACGGGGCGGGCTCTGCCGCTGAGCCCGGCTTAGGCTTTGCGGGTTTTTCTCTGCCGGCAGAGCCCGGAATCGCCCCACACCTCTGGATTTAGGCGATCCCTTACCCTCCAACACTGCAAAGGGGTTGCACCCGGGAGCCAAGCCACCCCCACGCGTGTTCCCAGCGTTCGCAGGAAGGATGCTCCGGCCACTCGCTTGCGAGGAAATCCCTTTCTGGGCCGGGGCAGCTCTGAATTCGTGCTGCAACGGGGCATTTTTAAACATTTCGGTGGAAAAATTCGGTTGCAAAGCCGCGTGGGACCCCCGGTCAGCCCGCCCCGACGGGGGTCCCCTCTGGGCCGGGGCCAGCCCAGCAAAGTCCCCCCGCGATGGAGCGATGTGGGAAAGGCTCGCTGCGTATCGGCAGCAATTTTGGCCTCGCTCCAGGCCAGTGAGTGAAAATGTGCGTTATTTACCGGCTGGGCAGGAGTCTGTCGCATCCATATGTTTACGGGACGTAACGCGGCGCGTTTGCAAATCTCTCGGAAGACGAGTTAATGGGTGTCAGCCCTTTATTTCAACGTCAGGTTTTATTCGTTTCGTTCCCACCTTTAAAGCGATCTGCTGGCGGATTAAATGATAAAATCATGGGCTCTAAAATAAGCTTAGACGAATGCCAGGCTGATCCACCAAACGTGTTTACTTTTGATGCGGGTTCGCAATTGCAATTCCAGTTTAAAGTCGCAAAGGGAACAAATCTGCTGAAGTGATTTTTTTAATTATTTATTTTTTTAATTTTTTTTTTCACTCCGGGCTAGGAAAGAACCTCAAAACTAGTGCAGATTTGGGGGGGGGTGCTGATGTGAAGTGGTACCTCTCCTGCCGTGACGGACAGGACGGAGCGAATTGCCACGCAGGTGTGAGGCAGAAACACGGCTCGTTCTTGAAGAGCTTCGGGAGTGGCCAAAAAAAAATAAATGTGCTTCGTCCATCGGAAAGTTAGAGCTCGTCTCCGGGCAGTTTTTACTCCGCCATGTGCGACCCCCTTTTCAGTATTGCAACCCCGTGTTTTGTGATTGGTAATTAGTAAATCGAAATAAGGGCGCCGGGACAGGCTCTGTCGTTTGTATTTGTTGCAGTCTCGGGAAAGAAACCTCAGGATGTCTCTGCCATCCCCAAACTTTCCTCCCTCCCCAGAGGAAGCAGCTTTTCGGCACAAAGAAGGTTTTGACGTGTCTCTGGAAATTCAGGAGCCTCCCCCTGAAGGAGAATTGGGAAGCGGCGCAGGAAAGCGCGAGTTTTCGTTTGGCCCTTCCAAGCAAAATTCCCAGCGCGGGGGGAAGATGTCCTTCCCCTGCCCACAGGGAAGGGCAGCCACGCGCTGAGAACTCCGTGGGTTTGGAGAGATCCCCCGACACGGGGTGGGGATGCTTCGTGGGAATGACCCTGGGTGCTGCTGCTGCTGCCTTGAGACGGCGGAACGGAGGTGTCAGGGCCGGCCAAGGTCCCCCCAGGGTTCCCTGCGTGGCTTCAGAGGCTCCTTTGTGCCTGCCCGGAGGGAGCGGGACACGGGGCCAGGCTCGGCTGACACCGGGAGAGGCGGTAAAACTCGGAGGGAACCACCACTTTGCGGCACATCCTCCCCGGGAGATCCTGTCCTTCCCAAGGGACTCCTCCAGAGCTGAGAGAAAGCCTCGCATCGTTTCTAGACCAGGTCTAAGCGGCCAAAGCACACGCAGGTCCGTGAGGGCTTCAGGAGGCGCGTTCAGAATCACGCAGGGATTTGTGCCCGGGTGCCAAATTCTCCCCTCCCGTGCCGCAGCCGCCTTGGCCCCCGCCAGTGTCCCACGGGAGGTTTCTTTGGAAGCCCCTGGGCGGTGAGAGGGCGCCGGAGGAAAACACGGCTCTCGGTTTCACGGCCGCACGTGGGTTTGAAGCGACCCTGAAGGCTGAGGGGCGCAGGGCTGAGCATCCATCGCTCGCGTGTGCGCTCCAGACGGGACCCCCGGGGCCATCGTGGAATTCACGGGCCCGCCGGGCTGGCAGCACCGAATCCCTGTCTCTCATCCTCTTCCACAGCGTCCTGAGGGCTCCGTGGCCTCGCAGCGGTCGTGCTGCGGCCCCAGGGCTGCTCTTTCTCCCCAAAAAGGAGGCGCTGGAAGGATGTGGTCGCATCCATCCCTTCCCCTCCGTCTGTGCGCCCTTGCGGGCAGAGCGGCTCGTCTGCCGTCGGGTGCCAACGTGAGTGCCCAACTCTTCAGCTGCACTCCGCGAACCTCCTAAAACACCTAATTAATTGCACTGGGTGGTGGTCTCAGCTCCCTCGGTGAGCCGGTGTAAGCCTTGTTTGCGCGGAGGCAATGAAAAACAAACAAAAACCCTGCCAACCAACCAACCAACCAACCAACCAACCAACCAACTCCATCCCAGCCCCTCTCCGCGTCCAAATCAGCTCCGTCGATGACTTTTCGCTATCACCGAGGCAGTGCCGGGCTCCCTCTAATCGGGTCGGGCTGTGGGGTCAGCGGGGCCGGGGCTCGGTGGGGCCGTGGGGGCGAAGTTGAGCCAGTGGGTCGGTCCCGCCCGTGCGCAGGCGAAGGGGCCGTCGGGGCAGTTTCTCCACGACCCCTTTGATCTCCTCAGCCCCTTTCCCAGCCGGGACTCGCCTTGGCAAGCGTGGGGGTCGCGGGTGATAACGCCACGGGGAGGAGGGACGGGCACGGTGCTGCTGGAAGGACGACGGGGAGCTGTTGGGGTCGTCGTCTCCCTGGGGGCCGACAGCTCTCCGGGGAGGGAGAAAACCCCTCCGAAGGGGTGCCCTTGCCCAGAAAAAGAGCAATTGCCTTCCCACGAGTGTGTGCAGAAGGGACCCAGCCTTCCCAAACCTTCTTAACCCCCTCGTCGCGGCCTGACCCGCGGGGGAATGGGGGGAGCGGGCGGATTGGGGGCAGCTCAGTCCCGACGGGGCTGCGGGACTGGCCCGGCTCCGCTCGCCGCTCTAACCAGCTCCTTGCTTCCCTTGCAGGTCTGGGCGACGCCTGGGGACAGCCGAGCAGGATAGGGCCCTTGGATAACGTGGCCATGGAGCTCGGATCCCACTTGCTTCAGGTAGTGGACCCCTCCCTCCTTCCGTACGGGAAACTGGTGTGGCGGTGGGATCTACCTCTCACCGCTCCTCCTCCTCCACTTATTCCTCACCCCCGCACGGCCACAGGAGTCTGGGTTAAACCTTCATCTTTTTCCCGAGCTTCAGTTGCCTGGGAGGAGAGGATAACCGAGGCACCGACCACTATTATTATTATTATTATTATTATTATTATTATTATTATTACTTTCGATGTTAGCAGAACCAACGCCTCTGTGAACGCAAAGTGTCTCCCAACCCTAAAAGACTTAATCAGGCACCTCAAATCTGCTGGGAATGTCCCCATTCTGGCAGATCCCGGCCAGAGCCGACGTGGGTTTGTCTGGAGAGGCGCCGGACACCGGGAATTTCGGGAGGGGAAACCTGTAAGGGAGCGCGGGGCTCCCGAGGGAGGGAACCACCTGGATTGGATCTTCCCGTGGACGTTAGCACCTGAAAATACCGTTGTTCTCAATCCCGTTGATCTGCTCTGGAATTCCTCTGAACTCCGGGAGAGTTTAGGAAGT